GCTGCCTGTGGAGGGAGCCTTAGGTTTGGTTGAGCTCCGATCTCCCCCACTTCTGCTAGGGCCACCATTGCTAGACTGGCCCCCTTTGAATCCCGCTCGGGTAGGCGGTTGAGGCCTATCCTTCCGAGCTTCCATTTGATAGTCCCCAAGGCATTCAGCTGCTTGGATCGCCTTGGGCAGGGTATCTACCCGTTGTCTTTGTAGCTCCATACGGGCATAAGGTTTCAGCCCTTCTAGGAAAGTGAAGAGTTTGTCTTTGTCCCCCATGTCGCGTATGCTTAGCATGAGCGCGGAGAATTCTCGCACATAGTCCCACACAGATTTGGTCTGGCGGAGCTCCCGTAGCTTTCTCCTTGAATTGTATTCAACATTTTCGGGGAAGAACTGTAGGCGTATGGCTGCCTTCAGTTCTGCCCATGTTTCGAGAGCATCTTCACCGGCCTTGATGGCTTCGTATTTCACCCGCCACCAGAGTTTAGCATCACCCTGAAGATACATGGCAGCATTTGCTACCTTCTTAGTTTCTTCTAGCCCCCCAACAACATCGAAATATTGTTCGACATCAAAGATGAAGTTCTCCACTTCCTTGGCATTCCTAGCTCCACTGTATGGTTTTGGCTCAGGAATTTTCAGTTTTTGTGTCGCGGAAGTGGGGTTTGCAGCGCCCCCGATCTGGTTTCCACCGCCTCGTAGCAGGCCCTGTAAAGCAGCATTGACGACATTGAGCTTGTTTGTCAAGTCGTCAATAGTTTGTTGCATGGCAGTCATCCTGTTTGCCTCTTGTGCCCTGTAAGCTAAATCCTCGGCACGCTCCTGTTGGAGTCCCTCGAATTTGCCAAAAATTTCGGCTGCCTCTGTGGCTGCCGTTTGCCGGTCTCCCTCGGAGTCACGACTGATGATTTCTATGTCAACTTCGGCCTGGAGCACCCTGCGGTCCAAGTCATCCAACCTTTGCCCTAGGTTGGTTCTTAGTTCAGACACCGTATCCATGATGGGCAGTAATCCGTCGACCGTCTGTTCAAGGGCCGCAATGCGGTCCCCATGATTCACCATGGTCAGAAATGGTGGTAATGGCAATCGTTCCCTCGTCCGATGTCGAGCCTAGGCTCTGATACCAACTGTTACGCGACGCCTTCCTGAGATTCCTTGGAAGGGCGACGTAAGGCTAAGCAATTGATGTCAGTGCAGTTGTTGTCCGCCAACTGAGGTCCCCTCCGTCCGCTAGACTAGATTGTCAGTGTCGTACGGAAAAACCAATGTCAAGAGCAATTGAGAGAACATGAATGAGAATTGAGAATGAAAGAAGGCTTGATTGCATTAATGAAAGCTATTACAGAAAGGCAACGCGGTGTCGAGGGGGAGAGACACCAGTACAGAGAATTGTTTGCTTGCTAGAAAGTTTGATTGCTTGATCCCCCCTAATAATACTTAAAAAAATAAACCAAAGCTACAAGACTAGACTTAATTAAGCTAGAGAAACATAATGGAAGTACATGGAATAAAACTACTCTATATTTACAATGAAAAAGACTTAATTTTCTATAAGGCAGAAATAGGTCCGTTGTCAGCAGCATAGTCTTTGGCATCAGGGTCTGCGCGCACGGCGCTGTTGGCATCTGCCTGCGGTTGGGCGCTGGCGAGGGATATCGGTGGGGCGACAGAGGCACATGCGCGCTTGTCACTTGGCGTGGCCAAGACTACGGGACCGTCCGTGGCGCTAGACATTGGAAGGCTTGCTAGGACGCCACGGGGCGCGCCCAAGGGGTCATGGGGCACGGCTGAAAAGCCGCCCATGACAATACACACGCACATATATTTAAGTAATGTTGAGTAATATTTTAAAACGCGTTAAAGTAGAGTGAAAGTGTAAATTTAGTATTATACAATCGGCTGCATATGTGCTTCCAGAAGGTAACAATGTTGAAAAGATTGACACTTATCCAAAAGGTCATTTTTAAAGAATCCAATGAAACATTAATCATTGTCACAAGTACTGAATTCAACTCTGTTTATTAATTAATGGAACTTTATATTAGGTCAATCCAAACACTAATTAAACAAGGATATCTGACAAAGGTGACGTTCCAACTTTTGTTACTGTTGCAAATTGCTATATTGCTTATTTTTGTTAAACTGTGCTGATCCCTATAAAGCTTTTTGTTTAAAAAATTTATTTCAACTTGGTGGGCTTTTTGAATTAAATTACTTTACTACAAAGCTTATCCTAAAAAAGCACTTTAAATAATTAGTATACTATATTTTAGAGGTACAACATCATTTGGATCTAGATGTCAAAGATTAAATTTGAAGATTAGTAGATAATAGAGTTTGAGACATCGTGTTTGTTCAATTTCTATTACTATCGCATGTTGTTACCCTTGCTTCGATTGTCTTATTGCTTTGTTATTTACTGTTATTACTGTTCTTGTTTTTATTAATCTTAACATGACTTTTTCACTATTGCTTCTCTTTCTCAAAACTATTGAGAAATACTTTTCTTGTTTTTGTTAGTCTTAAATAATTTTTCTATCTTTACAAGATCGGGATAAAATTTACATATACACTACCCTCCCCACAAATCACACCGTTGGAATACCTACGTTTGTTGTTGTAGAGGTGTAACACCACCAAATAATGAAACCAAAGGCAAGCTTTCTTTGCGGGGGCGGAGCTAGCCTTTCGGTTGTGGGTTCGGCCGAATCCAATAATTTGGTTCAAATTTTTGTATTTGTCTTAAAAATCCATTGAATTGTACACAAATTATTAATGTAGAACTCAGTAGCTTAAAATATTAGAATTCTTAGTTTGGTATGGCATTAGAGAAAACTTATTATAGTTATAGCGGCTATACAGAAAAGGTGGGTGGGGCTTCAGGCGGCTTTTTTATGAATAGCTTGAATCAAAATTTCATCGATGGTAACTAGTAATTGCCCTGGTCGGTGTGTGATCACCAAAGGTGAAATAACCCTTCATATGCTCTCTCCGTCCATGCTGAATACCCCCGGCCGGTTCCGCCAGGTAAGGCTAGGAGCTGATTTGGGGAATTACGGAATCTTACTTATTTAGGAGGATCTGATTCTGAAATGGAATAATTGATAGAATTAATATTTCATAAAAAAATAACCCATAAATTTCATATTGTGGCTCCGCCTTTAATTTTTTTGTCAATCCAGTGGTATGAAAAGCAATGAATTCGAATAGGTACCAAATAATTTAAACCCCACATAGGATTCTCACATAACGGTACTATTTTGTCTTTTAATTACCAGTGAAGCAATTACGAGGAAGAATTGCGTTTGCAAAATATAGGTTTCAGGTGCAGTGGGGACACGTGAATCTGGACATTGAAAGTCTAAGAGCCGGTTTCGACATAAGAATTTTTTTTTTTAAAATAATTTTTTTTTTTCGAAATTATTATTTGTTCATAAATTTTTTAATTTCCCTTAAAGATGCAGTTTGGAATTTTTCAAAAATTTGAAAAACTCTAAAAAATCATTTTTCAAAATTTTCACTCAGATCACTCACAAAACTTCAAAAACAACCCAAAATTATATTCATGTCCAAACACAACTCTAAATTTCAAATACCATTTTTATTTTTAAAAAAAATTCACCTTTTTTTAGAATTTTACAATTCTTATGTCCAAATGCCCACTAAGTAGGGCATTTTTCAAAGGAGAAAATTTGAAAGAAGTAAGAACAGAAGAATACTGTCATACAAATTGCTAAAAAATAAGAAAATTAAAATTGCTAAAAAATTGTGTCATATAAAATTGGAACTGAAAGAGTACTGTATTATTTTCTCCTTTCTTTCACTTTTTTCAAATATAATATAAAGATTAATTTGCAGAATAGTAGCAGTGAACCAGTATAGGGAACTTTTTTATCTATTCAGTGACGCGAGTCGGTCAAATTTGGTAAAGCATCCGTGCACCATCTCTCAGCCATGATTTTTGTTTTGACCTTTAAAATTTCACTTTTTTTTTATTTTTTTTTACTTTTTGCGGAAATTAGTATATTCACTCGAAAATGAATTTCGAAATTTTTTAAAATTTGAAAAACTCTAAAAGGCTGTTTCAAGATTTTTCATTTTTGAGCACTCACAAAAATTCAAAAACTGACCAAAATTGTATTCATGTCCAAACACAATTCTAATTTTTAAATATCATTTTTACTTAAAAAATAATTTCCTTTTTTTGGAATTTTATGTTTCTTATGTCCAAATGCCCACTAAGTGTATTGTTTTCCTTTGATCAAAATTAAGTGCGCATTGGACATAAGAATTGTAAAATTTCAAAAAAAGTAAAAAAGAAATTCAAGTGAAAATGATATTTGAAAATTAAAACTGTATTTGAATATAAATATAATTTTGGGTTATTTTTTGAAGTTTTATGAGTGATTTGAATGAAATTTTTTGAAAAACAGCTTTTTGAAGTTTTTCGAATTTTTAAAAAATTCTAAAATTTATATTCAAGTGAAAATTCAGAATTTTATAGCTAAACACTAGTTTCAAAAAAAGGTGAAACAATTCTTATGTCCAAACGAGCTCTAAAAGAGAATGGCTCAAATTTGTCTGTCTACTATTAAAATACATTCATTTTTACTCTCTGTAATACTATAGTGAAAAAGAAAAAAAAGCAAAACATTTGAAAAATGCAAAACACAAACTTAAACTACACTCTAAAACATGGAGAGAAAAGAAAACAGAGAACAAAAGCTCTGATATTATACAAAAGTTTTTCTTACTTTAGTCTTCATTGAACAAAAGAACTGCCCTACAACAACAACTAGATCCCACGAGTGATGTCTGAGGAGAGTAATATGTACACAAACCTTACCCCTACCCTGAAAGGCAGAGAGACTGTTTTCAAAAGACTGAGCAAAAGAACTGCACTACATTAAGCTAAATTGCTAACACCAAGAGTACTAGCAGCTGAAAAGAAAAACTAAATAATAGCAAAACAAAAGGCAAAAGGTTATAATACTGAAAATTTCCTTACTTTTATTGATAGAAAGAAGTAAGAACTGAATACTAGTTAAATTGCTAACACCATACCTATTATTTACATCATAACCCTTATTTCAATCTCAAAAACCTAACCTACTAAAAAATACTACAACAAACTTACAGGAAAAAGAAAATAGACCCAAAACAAAGAGCAAAAGTGCATCTTTCTGGTTCGTTGTACTGGTATTTAATTTGCTCTCTCCACGTGGCGAATAATAAATACAGACTCAAGATCTGGTGGATTAAAATACTCCCTAGCACCATTATAATTACACACTGACGCCGGCCGGCGTTTCACCGGAGCCGGTGGACATGGAAGTTTTTCCGGTATCCTTGAATCTCTTGCCGTTGGAGTTGTTGAACACTCTTCTTCATCTTCACACTCTTCTCTATTGGGCTTTTTTGTGGCTATTGATTTCAATTTTGGCCGAAAAGCTATTCCTGCAATTACCCACATTTTTTTCTCTTCTTTGCTTCCATCTACTTGGTATTTTTTTGAAGATCCCATTTCTAATAACAAAAACCACAAAAAAACTCCGATTTCCCGAAAAAATTACAAACTTTGGCTAAAAGGAAGAAGAAGAATGAACTAAAAGGGTCTTTTTTGCAAAAACTTTGAATGAAAGAAAAAGAAGAGAAGGCGGCAAAATGGAGGGAAAAGTTTATAGAGAAAACAGATTGCAAAAATCTAATTTGCTTAATATTATGTAAATGTATAATGATAAGGTTTATATAGCGAATAAGAATAAGAATATTGTGTGAAATTATTTTGGGATACCCGTAAAATTTCGGGCAATGGGCAGCTAAAATCCAGAGGGAAACTTAGATTTTGGCGCCAGAATTTGGTGTCTGCAGGGCAACGGCTCTCTTTCCCGCCTACACTTTTTGTTTTTCCAGTTTTACCCCTATTTCACAATCATTTTTTCTGTTGAATGCCACTTAGGCCCAAACTTGCTCCTGCAAAAGCTCGGGGCATTTGCATCTATACCCACTTTTTGTATCACGTTTTAACTTGTGCCCGCTTTGTAAAAAAAATTGCAAGTGTACCCGCTTTTTCGCATAACTTCAGTATACGTGGCTGAAGTAGCAAAGACAACCACGCAAAACTTTAGCATTCTAGTAGTCGGGCCTGAAGTTCAGCTCTAGAGCTGAAGTTTTTGTTTGTAAGTTTCAGCTCTAGAGCTGAAGTTTTTGTTTGTAAGCTTCAGCTCTAGAGCTGAAGTTTTTGTTTTGTAACTGTCAAACTTCAGCTCTAGAGCTGAAGTTTTTGTTTGTAACTGCCTTTTTGTCTGTAAGCTTCAGCTCTAGAGCTGAAGTTTTTGTTTTGTAACTGTCAAACTTCAGCTCTAGAGCTGAAGTTTTTGTTTGTAACTGGCTTTTTGTTTGTATGCTTCAGCTCTAGAGTTGAAGTTTTTGTTTTGTAACTGTCGAACTTCAGCTCTAAAGCTGAAGTTTTTGTTTTGTAACTGTCGAACTTCAGCTCTAAAGCTGAAGTTTTTGTTTGTACTAATATTTTACTTGGCTATCCTCTTCTGGAGTCGGAATTTTTTTAATCACTTGACTGCTTTTCCTGTACTTAGCAAAGACAGCTATAATCACTGGTGATTTCATATGGAAAACTCTTTGTACTTTTTGTAGCCAAGATGAGAGTAGTTAATCTGTCATTTATCCTTAATTATGGTGGTTCTTTGTTTAGGCGAAAAGTTGCTACAAATTACTTGGCCTGCTTGTCATAGTTGTGTTTGTGTACGTATATCTTCCCTTCAAATATGTTCCATTCTACTTCATCACAGGTTGCCGTTTTTGAGCTCAATAGATGACTCGTTCCACTTCATGAAAAATCTGAACAAACAATTAAGTTAAATCCATAACTATGCTTACGTAAAAGAATATCAATTGAGACTAAACGAAGAAGAAATAATCTGCACCAACAACAGCAAAAGAAAGAAGAAGAAAACGAAGGAAGAGAAGGAAGAGGGGAAATGAGGCTGAAGTTATTTAAAAAGTGGGTACAAGTTAAAAGTTTTTAAAAAATAAGTATATGTAAAATGGGGGACGACCAAATAAGGCGCCCCGTGCAATTTTTACCAAAAGCTCTTTAATCTTAGCCCAATAAGAGGGCCTCATACAATTTTGTACACACACATGAAGAATTAACCTAAATAGTCGATTAGCCGCTCACTCGTCCATTTAAACTAAAATAGCTAGTTGATGTAATACATACATATATATATATATATATATATATATATATATATGTGTATAACTGTGTATAATCTATGTATACCGACTAGAAAAAATAAATAGTGAATTTGACCGGCAATTCGTATAAAAATCCCTAAAAAATTAGGATGATCTTTAATTTCTGATCTCCGCTTGCTTTATGGTTGAATTTCAAGGTCAAAAAGATCAAAGTGTTGCCGACGGTGCAAGCGAGAGCAATACTTGTTAAACTTGAAATACTACCCATGAGACAAGCTGGGATAAAAATTCAAGACCGTCCACCTTGAGGGCCATTTGTGTACATGAATATCCAAATTTTAAACTCAATATGATACATGGTGATGTTTTCGATGAACATGGAGCTTTATGTTGTATTTATTTTGGTGCATACCACGATAATTCTTAGAACTTTAGATTTAAAACATGTTATGGCATTTCCATCGTTATAAAGGTACTTTATTGAGAATAAAATAAAAAATTTAAAGTCAAAATTTTATATATAAATGTGTATTTCTAGTAACAAACTAGAAAAGGTGACGTATAAAATTGAACGAGACTGCAATAGCAATTTGTTTTCAACCTAAACACATGCTACACGCCAATACTGCAATAGCAATTTGTTAATAGAAATGTAAAAAGAATGTTATAATGCTTCTAAACCTTGTGTGTTTTGTTTCACTATTACCAAAAGAGACGTCTTTAATATTAAAATCTCATCAATTTAGTTTACAACACATAATAAAACGAAGCTATTATTTTATAAACATAAAATTCGTCATAACTTTTTGTTAGTCTGGAGGGCATTCTGTGCCTTCTTATGTGATATTAAATTCCGACGTGGGTAAAAAAAATGGTAGAGTTGTATTGGTCAAAATCTGATCGTCGCGGCCAAGCTGATCGACGCCCCGCCTATGTAACCGGACAACGAAAGTTAATATAGCCCACTCTATATCTCCTCCCTGACATCCGACAAGTCGGTAAGAGCGGCGTCTAAAAGCACGACTAAGACACATTGGAGGCAAGAGGACGTCGAGCCGAGCAAAGGGCAAGGGTGCCACGACTATATATAGTCAGAGAAAGCTTTCAACAAAGGAGGTTGCTTCTCCTATCTCCTTCTTAAGCTAAAAAGCTCTCTTCTAGTTTTCTTGATTGAAAAGGGTAAATCTCTAGGAAAACCTATAAAGCGGTCTCCTCATCGATTGATGGGAGATACAATGTTGAATCTCAATAAGATCATTTACATTTCCTTTATCCTAAGTATGATCCATACTGCTAGCTCTTTGATCTTGAATTTATTATGTCTGACTAAGACTTACCCCTTCATCTTTGATTGATTTGTTCAAAAAAGTTTCAATATCTTTTGAGTCAAACAATTTGGCGCCGTCTGTTGGGATTTCATAGTGAAATTTCCTAGTCTCTCCCAGATCAAAGACAAGAAATACAATCACGCACCAAAAGGAGCGCGAAGGGAAAATCCAACCCACACGAGACAAAGGAGCATCGCAACAGGGGAAGGAAAGACGAGCGAAATTATCAAGCTTAGAAACCTCGGCCCCATCTACCATCGATACGCCAAACATGGCGAACGACTTTACCAATCAGTTCTCTCCCATCGGACCATCGGACGGGGGCAAGAAAAATTCCATTCTAACTCGCCTCCTAATCTCTGCTAAAGTAAGGACACAACGGTCGCGCAGGCGAACGAATAAAGAAACACCTCAATTAAAGAACGAAAAACCATTGCGAAACAACTGTGATACCTCCCACCAGCGATACCTCAAAGCTGGAAGACAGGAGCTAGACAAGGGAACTACAATCCGTGCGCAGAGCGAACCTAAGTGAAACAACAACGTTCCACATTCTCCAACGTTGCACCCTCCATTGCGAGCACTGCCAAATGGACTGGGACTCTCCCGGAAGATATCTGGCTCTCCAAAAACTAGTACTAACGATGGGCTACTATATCAATAAGTTCGAAATAACACCCTTTAAGGTTCGCTAAAAAGAAGAGTTCAACCTCGATCGAATGACAACGAGTTACTATTTCGATAAGTTCGAAATAACAACCTTTAAGGCCAGGGGCCTTCGCTAAAAAGAAGAGTTTGACCTCGATCGAATGACGATATGTTACTATTTCGATAAGTTCGAAATAACACCCATTAAGGCCAGGGGCCTTCGCCAAAAAAAAGAGTTCGACCTCAATCGAACAACGACGGGTTATTATTTCAATAAGTTCGAAATAACACCCTTTAAGGCTAGGGGCCTTCGCCAAAAAGAAGAGTTCGACCTCGATTGAACGATGACGAGTTACTATTCCGAGAAGTTCGAAATAACACCCTTTAAGGCCAGGGGCCTTCGCCAAAAAGAGAAAAGTTTGACCTTGATCTAATGACGACGGGTTACTAATTCGATAAGTTCAAAATAACACCATTTAAGTCCAGGGGCCTTTGCCAAGAGAATAGTTCGACCTTGATCGAACAACGACGGGTTACTATTTGAATAAGTTTGAAATAAAACCTTTTAGGGCCAGGGGCCTTCGCAAAAAAAAAGAGTTCGACCTCGATCGAACGATGATGAGTTACTATTTCGATAAGTTCGAAATAACACACTTTAAGGCCAGGGGCCTTCGCCAAAAAGAAGAGTTCGATCTCGATCGAACGACGACGGGTTACTATTTCGATAAGTTCGAAATAACACCCTTTAAGGCCAGGGGCCTTCGCTAAAAAAGAGTTCGACCTTGATCAAACGACGACGAGTTACTATTTCGATAAGTTCGAAATAATACCCTTTAAGTCCAGGGGTCTTCGCCAAAAAGAAGAGTTCGACCCCGATCGAACGACGACGGGTTACTATTTCGATAAGTTAAAAATAACACCCTTTAGGGCCAGGGGCCTTTGCCAAAAATATAAAAGTTCAACCTCGATCGAACGACGACGAGTTACTATTTCGATAAGTTCGAAATAACACCCTTTAAGGCCAAGGGCCTTCGCCAAGAGAAGAGCTCGACCTCGATCGAACGACGATGGGTTACTATTTTGATAAGTTCAAAATAACACACTTTAAGGCCAAGGGCCTTCGCCAAAAGGAGAAAAGTTCGACCTCGATCGAACAACGACGGGTTACTATTTCGATAAGTTCGAAATAACACCCTTTAAGGACAAGGGTCTTCGCCAAGAGAAGAGTTCAACCTCGATCGAACAACGACGAGTTACTATTTCGGTAAGTTCGAAATAATACCCTTTAAGGCAGGGGCCTTCGCCAAAAAGAAGAGTTCGACCTCGATCAAACGACGATGGGCTACTATTTCGATAAGTTCGAAATAACACCCTTTAATGCCAGGGGCCTTCGCCAAAAAGAAGAGTTCGACCTCGATCGAACGACAACGGGTTACTATTTCGATAAGTTTGAAATAACACCCTTTTAAGGCCATGGGTCTTTGTCAAAAAGAGAAAAGTTTA